TCAGTTTTATGTACTGCCTTGTGCCAAGCATCTTGCATTATCCAGCTCATCCTTCATGTTTGGAAGCTGATCATCTCCAAGGTATATTGAGCACAGAGGAAGGTAAACCTTCTTTAATTTAATCTGTATTCTCCTTTTTAAATTGTTACCTTATGAGCATCATACCCCCAAGCCTCTGATGTGAGGCCTCTCTAAATAGTTACGTTTGGAGTTCTTTTAATTAATGTTGTTCAATTAGTGACAGAGCTTTCTATATTACTGTTAACCTCATTTACTGATTTATTTAGTGATTTATTTACTGTTGTAAATAGCCACAAGAAAGTTATGGGTAGCGTTCTCCTGAGTTCAAAGGTAGAAGCAAAGTTCTTCACCTTATTGCAGGTACTAAGTGAACCCATGTTGACCTCACCTTTGGTTTAAGGAAGGATACTGTCCTGTGTTGGAAAGTGCTAATAACTATAATAATGTTATAATAAAATGCGTCCTCACTACAATATTATCAGAGGCATATTTTTTAACATATCAAAATAATTCTGCTTCTGAAAAGCCTCTGAGAAATTGTCAATAGAAAATTAATCACAATTCACACATTATTAAGAAATATTAGAACAAAGTTCTGCATATTTAAGATGATACTTGTCCTTTTAGGCAATGAAGGAACAGTTAATGCTATTACGTACTCTCACCTGCCCTAAACATTATACATTGTTTTGTGATTAATTTCAACTGATTAATGCCCTTATACTTTGGGTAAAATGATATATTAATGCATGCTTCACTTTTCCATAGAAGGGCATTAATGAATCCCACCTAGAATATAACTTCATAAAATATCATTAAAATGAACCTGATTGATCATCTTAATCTGTTTTAGTGGCCTTCAAAATTGGTCTTTTTCATTCACTTGTGAAAAAGAGGGTGTGACCTGTAAGCAGATGTAGGATCAGCCTGAGAAATGCACACAGCAGAAGGCTCTATTGTGCCATTTTTTTGTCAGAATGTTTGAAGAATAGTTAATATAAACAACAAAATGCTCGGTCTTCAAGTGCCTGCTGGTTAAAGCTATGTTTAAATGCCACGTGATAATTTGCTCTCTTCATTTTCTGTTAATAAAAAGATGTCTGCTCTGCCTGCTTCTAAGCTAATAATGTAAATCACTGTTTTTCCTAGATTTGTCTAGCATAAACCATGGACTCTGCAAAAGCCCTAATTAATACAATTTTGTTTTAAAGGAAAATTTGGGTATTAAAGTCCTTGGATATCAAAGTCCTATAAATAGATAATAAAATCTCTACATCACAATTTGAAACAATTTAATCTTCAGTTTACTAAGAAACAAGAAGTCGAACTTTTATCTTGCTAATTTGAAAACTGTGACTGTTCTTTCATTTTGTTGTGCATCCTGCACTTAGAAAGCACTGAAGTCTTCTAAAACAATTTGTTTCTAGGAGCCAAGATGACATTTAAGTTTTGGGTTTGTTTTTCCTATGCTCTTGAAACGTAGTTTATTATATAAATGCCTTGAAGCAAGACCTTAGCTGAAGTATTTTTCTTGTATTTTGTTTTTCATTATAATTTCTTATCTTTCTCTGGCAGATTCTTTTGGTTAGCGTTAATGTTCTCATCTATGTGTGTGTGTACATTAGAATTATCAATCTGTGTATTCATCTCCTCATACTCATTTGTTTCCATGAGACACCAAAGCAATGGTCTATGTTTTTAATGAGGAAAGCTTATTGAAAAGACTTTAGACATTTTTTAATATGCAAATATGCAAAAAGCACCAATATCAACGATGTTCCAGAGGAAGAAAGAAAGGTCAGTCATGTTCAGTTAGTATTTCACAAGGATGTCTCAACAAAGCGGTCTTGCCTAAGGTAATGATTCAGTCTCTGAGAGGCCACTAGGAGAAGCTGTTTCCAAAGTTCAGGGCTGTAAACAACCTACAGTCAACGCAGTGTCCGTCATATCTAATTCCCAGTGGAGTTTGAATATCATCTTTATCTCACATGCCATAGCTATTCACAAGAATCTTAATCTTACAATGCATCAAGTGACCTCTGCAAATTACTACAGGTTTTAAAACCTCTAGACATCAAAACATTTTTAGAGGGTACTCCAAGCCTTAAAGGATTATATCAGGTGAGGAAAAATAGTCCATTCCCAGAGGAAAACCTAAATCCACCACCTAATCAATCATTTCCCTAGAGTAACTGCCATCAGGACAACAATCTTGCAAGATTGTCACAGTAAAAGTTTCTTTAAAATTCTGGTCAACCTCTAATTTTGATGTCATTTAGTTGTCTTATGGTTGAACAGCTACTTCCCACTTGAATTTACTAGCTCTAGTTTATGAGATACTTATTTCAAATCTCTTTTGATATTTAAGTCTGAGTGAATTAAGCAATTTGAGATGTGACCAGAGACAACCGTATATCTGTGCCAGTTAGACTATGATCTAAGCAGACAAGACAGGCCAATCCAAATCCAATTGACAGAGTTAACAAAAAATTGAAAACTAATGTAAGTGAGAGAGAGGAGACTACTCAGGTTTTGAGTGTTCACTGTTTCACCTAGCTCTCTAATCCCAAAAGCAGTTGTGAAGAATAAGGAGGAAAAGAATGTGGAGGAAAGGAAAATGCACTCTCCGTTTACCTTCTTGAGAAGATAATGTTAAAGTGAAAACTCTTCTTAAGACAGTCCCTCACTTTTCTTGGCTGAGTTCTTAAAAGAGAGGGCCCAGGCTGCAATAAGAAAGCTGAATACTGGTTTTGAATTGAAAAAATCAAGTTGCAAAATAGTTCTTGTGTCACTTACGGATGACCTAAACCTTTGAAAACCAAATGACTGCTTGAATCTGATTTTCTTGGCAGGAACAGTAATTTGTAAATAAAAATTACCAGCTCAATGCAGTGCTATTTTATTTTATTCATCTTAGAGTCAGATTCTTTTTTCTGTGGATTCTTTTTTCTCAGTTGTAGATAGACACTCCCAATAGTAGCAAAAAATGATCACCAGCACAATATGTGTCTGAGAACTGTGTTATGAAAATGCGTTTTTGTATTCTGCTTGTTGCAATAAGGCTAAGAGGAAGAAATAAAGTAATGATTCAGAGTTTGTGCTGTCTTCTGAAAGCATGTTTTCAAGAGACAAGTTTTTCAGTGCTATAGGTGGTACATTTTTCTAACCTGCTGTGGTTTAGCCCCAGCCAGCAATTAAGCACCACACAGCCACTCAGGAAGAAAAAACAACTCCATCCCAGCCAAAATCAGGACATAACCCCTTTTTGTGTACTCTTTTTTCTGGGACATTTGCTTCTATGCAGACATCCACTGAAAATATATTTAACAGTTCTGAAAATTTTAGATGTTGTCAACGAGGTTCTTTATGACAACAAACTCGGTGAAGTGACAGGTCCCCAGTACACAGTGATCCTAGCCTTAGTGCAGGTTGACAGATATGACATCCTACTGGCTCACCTTTTTCACTTACTGTTATCTGGACCCCTAGGTCTTTTCTGTCATATATATGAAATGCCTCAGTGAGGTTTAATATGACAGAACTATTTACTTTATCACTCCAGAGCACGATCTCTCCTGACAATGAAATCAGACAGTGCAATTTACTTAAATTTGAACCCGTTCCATCTGTCAGAAGGCTGAGGTAAAGTATCCTGGCATCCATCAAAAGAGGGAAGATAAGTTATTTGCTCTTTCACATCAAATTTATACAATAGTATGTTGATGTGCCTGGTTACTCATATCTCCACCATATCTAATTTTTATTGTTGTCTTCACAATAATTTAAGAAGTTCAGGCATTCTTTCCACCTTGACTTGACAGATCAGAAATATAAGTGATTTAAAGGATGAGAGAGTTGTTTATGTTATGACCAGGTAGCAACTTATCCCGTCTAGATTTAGGTATAGTGCAGAAAGTTAAAGTAACAATTTAGCAAAAAGGTGCTAATAGAATCCTGGAATGATTCTTAGAACATTCATAGAATGTTGTCTTTCTTCATGTCAGTTTACTACAATTTTCTCAATTCTAGAAACATTGAGATACTCTTTTGGAGGCTCTGGAAGAGGTACAGGGCAGATTGGCACTTTGTGTTGGGGTCATAAACTCAGGTGGGAAGCAGTAGCTGTTCTATTACCCTCGAGCTGGAAGTTAAGAGAGTAACTGGAAGTTTTCAGATACTTCTTTTTAAAGTATGCTGTATGTGGGGAAGTTGTGACTGACACTGGGAAATGTGTATTTAAATTTCTTTAATTTTGTTATTCTTTTAATATAAATACATCAATAACAACTTCAGGCTAAGTGTGTGCTTAATATAATACAAGGCTTATTATTAATTACTGGGATTTAAATTTGATATTTAAGAAATGCTAGTGCTTTTGTTTTTTAAAGATTATTTTTTGTTGCATCCTTTATGCTATATTTATATGGAAATCTTGTTTACATGCTGCCATTTGTCAATATGGGATGGGAGATCAAAAATCTATGCTCGGTCTAAGCAGGGGGATTCCTAGGTGTTGCCTGCTCTGCCTTTTCTTACTGTAGTTTGCCTCCCACCTTTATTTTAAAATCACTTTTGGCCATACTGTGCCTCTCGGAAAATATCTGGAAGATTCAAGGAGTTGAAATTGAGCAAGATCCGAATAGCCTCCTCTATTGTGCCAATAGGACTAATTTTCTTGAGAAAGGATATTATATATCTTTGGGAATGATTTGGGAGAAATATATGGTACGTTGTGTTCATATTGGGATCAGGTAGAAACTTAGGCCTTGAATTTAAAATTCAGCTCGAAAGTTAAGTTGTCTAGTTGTGGTCTGTTCTTTAACTATATTCACAAGTTACTGTTTATCCTTCGAGGCGATGGAAACGGGGAAAGGAGAGTTAGCAGGTACGTTAACTGAAAGCTTTAAAGATAAAGATAACTGTTCAAAGAGGAATCAGTGTGAAGAGATATCAACAATTATTAAAATTTAATATTACAGGCCCGATGGAATTGGAACAGTATCTGTTGAAGAGAAAGAAAGGTTTGAGGAAATTAAGGACAGACTTTCCTCCCTTTTAGAAAACCAAATAAGCCATTTCAGGTGAGTGTATGGTTTATTCAATGAATACTAAGTTTTTTCTGGATGATTTTTCTCATGGTGTTCAATTTAGGTCTTGAAGAAACGGAGTGAAATTAAAATAAGAATGCATGCGAAGAATGTCATGTAGACAACCAAATCTGTTAGTTTATCACACTAAACCAACCTACCTGCCATTATTCTGTCAATCTAATCCTTTTTTAAAATGTACTTACAGAAATTTTATGTCTCTGTCACCTTACGACAACCCCGTTCCACAGTTTAAATAGTGCTGTGTGAAACAGCTTGCTTTTGTTTGGCAAGGTTTGTTGGATGCCCCTCCGGTTTGATGGAGTGTCTAGTATTCACTGGTATCTGTCATGTTGATAACTAGGTTGTTGGGGTTTTTTTGCAGTCTTCACTTGGGACTTCATCTCTGTGTTAAACTAAGGAGAGTTTAGTAAACTAAGGGTTCTCCTTGGAGGGTATTCCTTTTGGGGAAAAATGATGCTCCTTCCTTTATTTCCTTTTAATATCCTTCCCTGACACATTTCTTGTTTTCTGTCTTCCATGGGATTAAATAGCTCTTGACAGAGAAGCAATACAGAGCAGCGTAGGACAGAGTACTTCCTACCCAGGTCTTGGAAGGGCAGGAGGGGAGAACTGACGAAGAACATCATCTGCAGGGGGAAGGAAAACTTGCTTCTGTGACAGTCTTCTCATGGTTGCTACAAAAAAAATGAAGGAGTATTGGAGCTGGGAGAAGACCTCTGGCCTCTGATTGGCATCCTTATGACCATGTCCTGACAAGTTTATGGTAGAAACACAATTGCCGTAATTTCCGATTAATACAAGTACTTTTACTCACACACAATGGTGAGGTCAGTGAGAATAACTGTGGCCCAGAAAATACTGAAGGAGCAGAAGCCTTCTGAATATGTACAGAGAGAGAGGAGGGAGATGGGGGAACAAGAAGAGAGGCTAGGGATCTTCGGAATAATTCTGTTCATCTGCAGGCCTTCCATACATGAAACTAATTACAAAATGTATAATAATGTCTAAATAATTATTTGAGTTTGAACAAATCAAGGTAAAACCCATCACGTCTGCTTACCTACACCCTGGAGTATGTTGATGAGCTTGGGCTATATCAGTGATCATAGGATCTTTCTGCCTCAGTCTTGGTGGGTTTTGAGGGAATTCAAACACTGTTAGAAACTCCTCCTTGAGAGCAATCAGATGTGTCATTCAAAGATGAATGCCTCCATCCTTCAGAGGACTCTAAGGTTTCCCTTAAAATCCTATTCAGTCAAGACAGACAAACAGTGCTCTGCCAGGTGCAGAGTAATTATTATGTCTTTCTCTGAACAAATGTTAGAAATAAAAAAAAAAAATAGGTGTCATGTCTGGATTTAAACAAGGATACTGGCATAAAACTGGTAGAAGGAAGAATAAATAGTACCCTGGAATCTGAATTTGTAAAGCATATAGAGTCACAATATAGGACATCCTGATAAAGTACTGTCATTAGACTTTTAAAGAAAACCTAGACTCAAGTAATGTAAAAAGATCATAAAGATGATTGTTACCATCATTTAACAAGAATAACCTTGGCTGTGAGATTGCTTTCTTAAGAAAACATGGTATTAAGACTACTCCATATTTCAATCCATTGAAATTGTTTTGGTAACTGTGAAATACTGAATATTTTTTAAAATAGATTCAGCAGTAAAGAGTTGCTTTGGCCTTACTTTCCCTTTGTTCCTTGTCACAAGACAGTCCCACCATCTCCCAAGCTGGCTTCCTGCTTCCACTGTTCTTTCTACTGTCAGTTTGAGCATCCATGCTGTTTACATGTGCCTTAGAATATTTGAGAGACTTTCATGTCCTCCTTGTTCAGATAGGTTTTACAGTTTTTAAATGCCAGATTCCCTACAATAACCTCTTTGTCTTTCTCATGGAGTCACATGAGATGCGTTTTTGTTTGGGGTTTTGACCACTTTTTTTTTTTTTTTTAATTGTGGCATGCTTTTTTCCCTCAGGTTGCTTATAGATTTCTTGCTTTTTTTGATCACTCCTTTAAGGTTTTAGCTTTTGTTTTTCAAGTTGCTCATTTTTTCATAGCTCCCATTCTTGAATTTGATTATGTACATGTACTGAGTGTACATGTACCGAATTTTTTTGGCTAGTTCTCTTTTGCTACATTATTAAATGTTACCGTTTTATGATCACAACTACTGAGCACCTCTCCTGCTGTGCACCTCTCAAACAATGTACTGGTGAGTGTCCCTTTAGGTCTCTACTGTGAATATTTCCTTTTCTTTAATTGCTTATCTCAAGAAAGCAACTCTTCTCTGTCAGAAGCTCCTTGCACCAATTGCCCACATAAGCTTGCTGCCCGTGTTGTACTCTTACATACTGTCTCTGCAATAAACCGAGTAACCCCTATTCTACTGTGGGACTTCTGTCTACATCATGAACTTAAAACTGGTTGGGGTTTGGAAGCTTGTTGTGTTATTTACATTGCAGAACGTACCTGGAAGGAAGTCTTTGATTTGAAATACTAAGTATGATCAAAAAATAAGCGACATTTAGAGGTTGATAGGAATAAACAATGAGAAAGACAAGTCAAGGAATGTGGAAATAATACTTCAAAGGGTGGAGGAGTCAAAACACCTGAAGATGTGTTCTATTTTAAGATGACTTAATGCTTAAGGGTCATTAAATGTGCTTTGCTAATTTGTTAGCCTGTCCTCAAAAATTGTTAGCACTACAGTAAGAAAGAAACAAAATGAGACAAACCAAATACTGGAATTGTCTCTGTGGGGAATCCTTTTTTGACCTCATTTACAGGGCTTTATTTTGGCTGACCAAAACGTATATGTAAAATTCACTGTTCTGAATCCTTTTATCATTAGAAAAGATTTTATTATTGGAAAACATTAGAATATGAGGTTACCATACTCAGTGAGTAATAAAAAGGAAAAAAGTAATCTCGGCAAAGTAAAAAATCCTTTTTCCAATTGGGGATATCCCAGCAAGATTTTATAGACAGGATTAAGAGAGGTTACAGTTGCCTGAGCATTGTGGTCTCATTGAGCTGATATATTTGATCATTCAGTAGACAAAAATGAAAAGCAAAGCTACTAATGGGATCACTTTTTAATTTACATAATTTTAGAAGTATCGAGACAGAAGTGGGTATGGTTTAAGTTGCAGCTGATAAAATTAAGATAACATAAAATGCTTTTCCAAGCTATTTATAATATAGTAGAAAAAAATATGGAATATCTGCAGGCATTTTTATTCCCATATATCTCTAGAAATTTGAATAGCTGACATATTGTCCTTGTCTTGATCCAATACTAAAACAAGATATAATATACAGAGTGCTACTTCACAGCTCCAGTAGCTTGTCGTGGCTACATGAGAAATAGTACCTTTTTCCAGAAGGCTGACAGCTAAGCTCATCATAGACCATTAAATATCCTTCATAGTTGAGAAAGTGGAAGTGATGCTTTTTGCCTTCTGTATTTTTTCTGTGTTTAGGCCTGAGCTGCTGGTGGACTGATGCTGCTGTACTTTGTATATGCTCCATGGTAGACTAATGAAGAGGCCTCCTGCCGTCATTAGTACTTTGCCTATGGGAGTCTTCTGCTAACATAATTTATTGCCAGTTGTGTACACTTACGTCTCAAAATAAATTCTTAACTTAGATATTATAATTCTGATAATTTCTCTTCGTTTTTTTTCTTTCTTCTTTTTTCTTTTTTTTTTTTTTTTTAACTTTTTAAGATACTGTTTCCCTTTTGGACGTCCTGAAGGAGCTTTAAAAGCCACACTTTCATTACTTGAAAGGGTAAGTTTGAGAACATATTTTAAATTCTGCTTGGGTACTAAGCCTGCATTTTTCTTTTGCCTTCAGGCTGCTGAAAGCAGACTCATGCCTTCTCAGGTATTTTACTACTCATTTTATTCACTTGGAGGTTTTTTCTCAACCTTTTCCACAGAGGCAAACAGCTGTTTTCTGTAGGACTTATTTATTGCACTTCTGCTTCAAGTCGCTGCAGTGACTTACTGTTTCGTTATAATTTAACGATTTCCCAGCATGGCCTCTAAAGTACTGCAAGTCTACTCTGCAGCCCCCCTTTCCTGCTTTCTATGGCTTCTGTGCTGCTGATGTTGTCTATACTGACATGTAACATTAAAAAGCTTCTATATAATCCAAATAATCTTCCATAAATCCATAATTGGGGTCAATTTAAGAAGAAAAAGCTATACGCAGCAAAACTGTCATGGACAGCTATAAATGTAAACTCCTGCCCAGCAAATCCTCTTGTATTGAGCAGAAGGGAGAAGACCTCATAATGGCAAAAGCATCTCAGACTTCTCTGAGGAAAGGGAACTTTAAATTCCAGCAGATTCCAGAGGAATTGTATCAGCAGGAGCCCGGTGAAGATACGAAGTCAAAAAAAGCTTAGATCCCAGGCTAGGTAGCTCTGCCAAGCTCTGACAGGTCTGGTCCTGGGGAGTGTCAGTCGTTGTGCACTGCAGAACACTCCATGGATGGAGATTCTGTCTTAGAAAACCTCTGCTACATACAAAAACACGTAGAGAATGGGGGTATATATGTTTTCTTTCGGTTACAATCTCCGTGATTGTAGTGCTGTGGAGATCCCTTTGTGTTATATGAAACCGCCATTTCCTCTCACTGTCCCTGCTGTTACAAATGGCAACTCTGTCTGGTGTTCAAGCAACACCATTGTTAGTCTTGACTGGGAATAAACTGGGTTGCAAAGATTTGATTTTACCTGTCTGAAAATTTTGAAAAAAAATCAGCTCTGTAATAAAATATTCCGGAAAAAAAGAACAAAAATACAGTTTTGACTACTGTATTTTCACTTGTTGATAACCCAGATGTTATTCATTAAAAAGAAGCAAGTTAACAAAGGTAGATATGTCCTGTGTGTGCAAGTAATGGAAGAAGTCTGCTTTGCAACAACGTCTTCCTAATAGCATCTCTGTTGCTGAACCTCTTTTTTTTCTACTGTATGCTTCCCTAGACCATACCTTATTCTCCCTCCCTTTCACAGTAATTTTTAGATATGTTGTATAAGGGTGTAGCTTGTCTGGGAATCCACTGGAGAAACGATTTTAAAAGGTTGTGAGTTATCTGAAATTTCATTATTTACATTAAAATGTGGTAAAAACATGTTGAGTTTTGTTTACATCTACCTGTTGAAAGTTAATGGAGTATAGAATTAAAGCAAAAATGCAAGTTAATTATTAACAATATTTATTCCATATTTTCCCATTTTCCATTAGAATGTTGATATTAGTAACCAAGAGTATATAATGTTGTATTCATATATATCCTCAGTTTACCTCACTTGCAATAGGTGATCTGTTTTATCAAAGTCCTATATTTTAAAAATCAGTAGGCTTTAGAAACTGGCAGGTTTTACAAAAGCTTTGTGTGATATGTTTTTCTACTTGTCTATAATAAAATATTCCACCAGAAGTTCAGTATTTCCCCTGCCTACTACAGATGACTGTTTTTCACAGCAAGGACATGCTGAATTTGAATATCTGTATGAAAGAAGAAAAGCAAGTCAGTATTAGCTAGTTCTGAGGGTGGTGTTCACAGTTTCTCCTTTACACTGTTGAAGAGTCAATGGTTATGCAATGGTGGAAACTTTCCCACAGGTGAGAACGAAGCAAATTTCCACATCCACATCTTTAGTGTGCACCATGATCCAGCCCATCCACAGAATGGTCTTGGTGTCACCCAAAGACTGACTAGCGTGCTGCAAGATGCCACACGGTAGGGGTATTGTATATAAATGCCATATAGGCATCAAATCAGGGTTGAACAGAAACCTTAGAAGACAAATATCTAGTTCTACCAACTGAAGTAGTTGCTTTTTGGTATCTGCCTTTAATCATTATCAGATCTGTAGTAACTTTAGGATACTTTTATCCTTTTCCCTTGGGTTTTGGGTAAAGAGTGTAACCAAGTGGTGTAATTGTCTCTGGCACAGGTTTTAATGAAAGATATTGCCACTGTCATACCAGCAGAAGAGGTGAAGAAAGTGGTTAGAAAATGTCTGGAGAAGGCTGCCTTGATCAATTACACTCGACTTACAGAATATGCCAAAATAGAAGGTTAGTACAGCAATCAACTGCCAAAGTGGCTGTAAAAGCCAACAATGGCTATTAACTGAATATTCTGCGAGCAGCCTTTTCCCTTTCCTGAGCAAACCCCTTCCACAGCAAGGGGAAATGTCTCATTAAAATCTCAGCTGGTGAACTATGGAGTTTTTTCCTTTTCATTGCTTTAATATGCCTCCTGGGACCCTGTCTGAATGGAGGACTAGGACTTCTTAATTTAGGTTGCCCTTTGTTCTTACTTTTGAGTTCTTCATAAATCTAAAAGGTTGTTTATGGGTTATTTTTTATTTCTCTAACTATTTCTAGTATTAAACTACCGACGGAAATTCTTTCTTTATCAGCAGTAACAATACCTTGAAACTTGAAAACTCTGAGTATAGATGCTTTTATGATGTACTTATAAGGCAGGCAGATAGATAAATCTTATTTATTTTTGCTATTGTGTTGTCAGATGTATAATAATAATCTGATCATTAAAACCTTAATTACATACTGATTTCCTGAATTAACTAATAGGTCAAAATACTAGATCTAATGGTAATCAGCAGTTCTTCTGGAGTTTACGTATGTTCTAGAATGTATACCATGAAATTAGTGTAGATTTTGCTCAAAAATAAATGGGCTAGCGTACACAGTGTCAATTTAATACTTGTAAACCTTCTGTAGAACAAAAAGGAAGTCATAATAGTCAATTGCCTTGTGAAGACACATCTGTTATTTTCTATAAAGTGCAGAAAACTTGAGATATACCTATACAGATATATTCAGGAGTAGAAAACAGTGTGTGTGCATCTATATAAATGGTTTTTTTGGAAGTAGAGTCAATTAGCAGGAAAATACATGGAGGATGAATTCTGCTTTAAAACCAATTTTTATGCATAGTATGTGTTTTCATAGCATGTATGTCTAGTAATGCACTAGAAGAAATAGAGTTATCATAGCAGCAAAATGAAGAAGCCTCATATGTTTAGTAATATTATAAAGCCAACTTTTTTTCCTTTTTCCATTTCTGCTCAAATTCTCTGAAAAACATGAGTTAACCAATCTCACAAGTGATTAACAGAAAACCCATCTCATCACTATAGCAACCAGTATTATATCATGGGAGTAACAACATGAAACCATCTTAGTAACCAGTTTATCATAATTAATTATGATATCATGTTGTGTTAAAGAAAGAAGGATGACTATTAAATCTATCCTGTAAAATGAAAAAGCAAAAATACCATTTTTCCTTAGTTTTTATCTTTCTGTACTCATAAAGGGATTTTTTAATGTTCAGTATTTCCGTTTTTTAGCAAACGAGTTGAAATAATGGATATAAAAATAGAAACATTTTTAAAAGATGGCAAAAGCATGCAAAAAAACTCACCAACACTAAATTGGATTGAAAAAGTGAGGTAAATACATGTTTGCCCCGGACCTTTAACTATACCCTAGAGAATTGTGACAGTTCCACTGCGAGTAACAAATTTTGAACTTTAAAATATGCACACTTTTAACACATATGCACTAAGCTGGAACAGCATATGAAACTGCCGTCCATCCCATGGCATATTTTGACTTGCAAATTTCTTTTTGGATTTATTGTCTTTTGGTTGAAATACAACTAGATTTCTGCAAGTAGTTTTACACTCATGTAATTGTAAACCCAAAGCACGATAGATAATTGCATATATAAGTCTAGTAGCTCAACAAGAAATAGGTTGAGTACTTTTCTGAGAATGAAGTAGAGTACTGTTTGAAAGTGAAGGGCTTCAGCATCATAACATCAGAAAATTAAACACACTGGTTTTCAGTAGCAATGAGACCTGTATTTGTCTCTTTCTATACTCGGGTCATTACAAATATCCTACATTTTTACCAATATAAATGTAATAGTTTTCAACAATAGATTCCATTCTGCTTCTTTAGGTTCCTGAGAGCATTATTGTATCTGTGCACTGAAATTACGATCTTCTCTTGAAAGTAATGTGTGTTAGTGTTCACATTAATTGCTTACTCCTCAAATTGCATACACAAAGCATATAGTCCTATCTTTATAACATTACTGATGTCCTCAAATGTAGCTGTCATACATTATTGTGATTTTTTTCCTATTCTTTGAATATTTCTTCAGTGAACAACATCATATCAGTCAGTCAAAATGCAACTATTGCATGATAATATCAGCTATAGACCAATAGTAGCTACCTAAAAAGTAGAGATGCAAAGAGTGCTCCAACAAAAATTATATTCTTCTATTCTTAGATTTTTATATTCTTTTACTATTATTTATGTTTTTAAATTCTCAGGCACGATATGGATGCAAACTCAGCCAGTGAGCCTGAAATAGAGACTATATAGAACTAGTAAATAAAAATATACTACCTAAACACATACACCTTTTCTCCCTCAGCTGACAAAACCCATCACTTGGGTGAGCTGACCATCAGGACTCTCACTGTTATATTCAAGATTTTAAGAAGATGTTAACTCTTTATTTGGTAATTATTCTACTCTAATGAAATTAAAATAGTTATATTTCTGTAATCATGTTTTTCTTCTCTCTTTTTTTTTGTTGATTTATATTTAGCAACAGCAGAAAAGGACTCAGGTGATTACTATTTGTGTGCATGTCTGCATGTATTACAGATTTAGTAATGTGTAATGTGTAATTTAGTAATGTGTCTGTTGTTTTATTATTTTTGTTGATTTCAACAATATCAAGATATTGACCAGAACATGTGTGAACATTAGCATTCATTTTGATGTAGTATAGTCCATATATTCTTCATCTACCCTTATACTTAACTATGATGTGCATATTTATTAGTAATTTAGATCATGTTGTATTTTGGAATGTGATACAACTGTAGTTTCTGTGAAAGAGATGTAACTAAGTGATGCAGAAAAGTTGGCTGTTATATTCAAAATCAGTTTGTGTATTTAGAGAAATGTAATTTCATAGTCATCAGCAAAAATGGTATCCATTTTTAATGGGACTGCTGGATTGATGAAGCTCTTCATAGGAGAACTAATTGTGTAAAGCTAGTTTTACATTTCTCTGATACGGCTTTGTTTAGTGATATGTTTAGTTTTCTAGTTACAGCTCAATGTTGTGAGGATGGTAGTTCTTTCTGTTCCAAATTTCATGAAGCTATGTTGTATATTCTCCAATACTGCAGAGAGGTTTTTTGAGTGCTTATAGCCAAGTATTTATCAGAGTGATCACAAAAAGAGCATAGCTGAAGTAGTATTTGTGGCTGAGTAGTGTTGGCTGCATAGAAGTATGAGGGATTGCGCATATGTATATTTTGAAATGTATACACACGCACTACTTTGTCTTACCTTTTTTAAAGAAAGATGTACATGTAGACCTAATGGAAGCCTGATCATAATGCTTTGTGGGGTTTCCACAAATATCAACCCCAGTTATAGGAAAGGGCATTGAGTTGGTAGCTTTCTCAGGATGAAATAATTTTCCAGCTGGAAAGACAGACTGGGGTGATGACTTCAAAGGTTGCATGAAAGTAGTTGAAAATGGAGCTCTTTGCCAATGAGGGGCTTGAAGGGAGAAAGATGGTTCATTTTTGGAGGAACAGCTTCTTCAGTCAGTAAACAAGAAAAAATACTAGCAAATTACAAAAACTACTTTTTTAAAGTTGGTGTTCATAACTGAAAATTAAAAAAATTCCATTGGTTCCCAAACCTTCCACTGGTTTTCATCTGGAAGTTTTAAATGCCCTGGAAGTAGAAGAGCTCTATTTGGAATTGTTAAAAAGGAGAGCAGACAATGCAGTGGTGGCATGGGCATTCGTGCCACAGCCTGTTAGAATGAGTTGATACGAGCTCATGTTGACCAGGTAATCTCCCAACTCCCTCTGATCAACAGGAAGGGGTTCATTAAGCAGTTGATTCAGAGTGCTTGGAGGCTCCTTCAGCAATTTCTCTGTGAAAGGACCAATCTCACACCATCAAATACAAATGTATCCTGAGAAAATTTCCCTACTAGGTAAGATACCTAAAGCTAGGTAGCACAAATACTCCATGTAGTCTTTTTACACCTGTAGGTATTGAAGAAAATATCTCTTCAAATCAGAAGTTTAGAAAAATACTGAAATTAATCGTGAAATGAGGAAACTAATTTTAGAGTTTGTATCCTTTGATCTTTGTGCTCTAAAACCTCAGCTGTACACTTTTATATAATGTGCATCACCTCAAGTACAAATCTTTGTTTTGCCACACACACTTGCTATTCTTATTTTTTCTCGGGCTCATTATGTCAGAAATACAGACCATTAAGCACAGATGACATACAGTTACAAGCACAGAAAAAAACAAAAAAAGACATTAGGTTTATGCACGCTTTGAAAGAAACTATTCCCAGGTTCTTAAGATAGGACAGCAAAGCTGTCCCTTAAGTGACCTGGCAAATAACTATATTAGAGAATGGATGAGAGGAAAGCCTATCACATGCAGTGAGTAAATGGAAATTCACTGTGAGTTAGGTGAAGCTAGAGGTTTATAGGCTGTGTTTGTAATTGAATTGCTTAATTAAATTCTGCTTCTGACTAAAAATGCAGCTGAAAATTAATCAGACGACTCAGAAAAATTGGTTTTATTGAAAGGAGTGAATAGACTGTGTTCCAGCAAAATTTCGTGTCCCACTGAACCCGTTTCTCTGATGCAAAAGATGAAGCAGCTGAAAGGAATGCCAAATAAAAAAATATATTTTAGCCTGGTTAACAGGATCAAATCCTGCTCCTGTTGGTGTCATTACCTAGACTTCTACAGATTTCATCGTGAACTTGATGTGCAGTATGCTTATCCCTTAGATCATGTATTGCATTGTCATGGAAAATAAGGAAAAACTATTTATTGATAACTATTATTTACCCTTTAACTTGTGCATTAGATACTGTATAGATATTCTTGAATGCAGGAGTGTCCTTGTCAGGTGATACAGAGGTGAACATGCAAATTCTTTTTATTGCAAGAATCCTTTTTCAGCAGTGTGGTTGCCAGGTTCCCAGGTCTATTCCCCCAAGTGCTCTCATTTTCACAGCCTCAATTGAACAAGACTCTGAATGCTTTCCCAGAAGACAGTGGTTACTTTCTTAATGGCAGACACAGTGGTATAAGCAGCACTTGCATCAACAGGATTTGTTTGCAGTCAAGATGACATTTTATTTAGCACTCCCATGTCGTTGTACTACTATGAATGTAGAACAGCTTTTTTCAATAAAAATTACATTTGCAATGACAATTATATAGGGTTCAGCGTGTCATTGCTTATAACACGTACTGCTGAAATTCTCATGGAGCAGCTAATCTGTTCAGTCAGTATAATTGCCGTTATGAGGAGAACAGCAGTAAACCTATTATAATTTTGAACTATGTCTAAGAACTCTCATATAATGCCCTTGTAGTTTGCAGCAAGGGTTTATAATTTGTCAGGGAGATGATCACAGCATCAGTATGTGAAAATCTCTTTTTAAGTATAAACCATTTTCATTTCAGCACATGCTGGCTTTGAGACTTTGTTACCTGAAAGTACTTCTTAGATCATTTTGTGTATGGCATATTTTCCTGTCTTACTCAGTATTTAACTTGAGTTAACTCTTCCTGTAGATAATGTTGAACATAACTGGACCAGCCAGATGCTGAGGCCAGAAACAAATAGCATTCTTCAGATGCATTTTGTATAGCTTCTAATGAACAACTTTTAGAAATTTGCATGCCTCCCTTACCTGTTTTCTCTCCTTCAAAAAAGATGGCCTTCCTTATACAGAATTCATATCTGTTACTTACATTTTATACACATCCATTAACACACATGCAGAGTAATAAAATTATTTATTTATTCCTTCTCAGAAATGAATGGTTTTCCCTGTTTAAATTTGTTCGAAATCTGAATGGCTGAGGCATAATGGACTCTGCTAGTGCTGCTGTCATTGCTTACGAGAAGTGATAGAAACTTACATGTAAATACATTTTTCAGCACAAGGGCATTACCTTGCTGTGGAAAAATAAAGGGGCTGGGTTAAGGATTAAAGTGGTAAATGGTTGTGAAGCGAACAGGGCAGTATCTGCCATTGTCCATAGATACTAATTTCTGAGGCAATAGACAGATTGTAAAGGTTTGAATTATGAGGTAGTTGTCTTATAACTCATTATTTTCAGAAGTCTGTAGTAACTGACTGTACTGGGCTCCTTCTGCCAATCAGTTTTAATAAAAGGAATGAGAATAAATTTGATTAAAATCAGAGCAAATAGTTACTGTGTAGTGTACAATTGCTCAAAGATAAATCACAGTTGTCATCCCAATGTTTCTTTCTATCAGACAGACTGCCAAAGGCTGAATTACTGTTAACTCCATACAATAGAAGGTCAGGAGCAACTCAACAGTTTGCTGTTTTTTAAAGGACATCGATCGTTAACATACTCATTACATACAAGTTTCTAAAGGAAGGGTAGTATGTAAATGCCCTCAAGGCTCAGAAGGATCTATCTGACTTAAAAAGAAGAACACTACAGACATTATTGAAATTGAGAAGGCAAGTGGAGAGAGTCATTGTACCTGGAGAGGACTTGATTAAAGCTCTCCATGCATGTTCATTTCACTGAACAAACAAAAATGAATGAGTTGCACAGCAGCATAACACCTTCTTGGTCTCCGTTTGTTGTGCAACTAAACGTAAAGAGGAGGATATGGGCAAATATCCCTGATTTCAATTTTGGAGCAGAGGTCTGTAAAAGAACCCCTGGATTGTTAGGTCCATGCCTTGATATGTCCTTAGTAAACATACCCACATCCTCTCTTAACATCTGGACTGAGTCGGTCTTTGTCACTGCTCTTCCCCTTCTCCACCCCCTGCTTCACTGATGTGAAGGCCATTTCAAGTCTTGTTTGCTCTATAGGTGTAGGAATCACCTTGCAGTCAAATTAGTTTCTGGTGTTTAACATGCTAACCTTGTCCTGTATCCCTAATGAAGGAGGGACAGTTCCCTCCTGCATTATAATTTCATCGTCTCCAATTCCTCCTCACCCTATGATGCGTTTTTAGACAATTGTTTTATATCTGTTCAACCTAGGCTTTCATCACCTCTCTCAGAGTTTTACTCTCCTCTTCTTCTTTTGTATCATCTGAGGAGCCTTTCTCTGTTAAACTTTAAATTCTGCCTTCTTGAACACTGGTGACCAGACCTGTGCAGTCATCCCCATGAGATGCCTTACACAGTACTAGTAGTACTATTATAGCAGAAATGCTTAATCTAATATATTCAAGGAACACTTGTCTTTTCATGTCTGTTATCATGCTTGGGGCACACAGCCATTCTGTGAAGTTAATTCAACCCAGTCGTCGGAGTTTTTGATCATTTCCAGCTGACGAGTTCCCAGTTTATAGCAAATGTTTATTGCTATTCATGTGTCAAAATGTATTGCCCTCCCTCTTACATTATTAAATTTTGTTTCTCTCTCTCATTCTTTGGAATTACCTGATTCTTGTTACTGCATTTTGACCCTGCTGTCTATTGCCAGTGTTTTACAATATTGTCATCAGTGCGCTCCTAGCATTTATTCTGAAGTCACTAGTGAAAATATTAAGGAAG